TTGGCCATCTGGAACATGGTCTTGGATTGATCATCACCGAATAATGAATGATTCTAATCATTTGAATGAACAGAAAAAATTTAATCCTGATCGATTTCTCAGTGAAGAATATGGAGGCACTGGTGAATTTAAAAGGATACGTAAGAATGGATATGTACCTTTTGGTGGAGGTTTAAGAGTTTGTCCAGGAAGAAATATTGCATTAATAGAGCTGAAATTGCTCACGGTATTGTTCTTTAGAAAATATAATATTAAGTTGATAAACGAGAATGAATCAATCAAATATGTTTATAGGTCACTAACCAAGTCTATGATCTAATGATTAGAGTATCTCAAAAATCACACTTCAACTTTGAGTTTAAAGATGTTTACTACTGTAACCAGCCATTTTATCGCTGTGATTTCTTATATGGATTTATTTATTTCATTTGTTTCCTTTATTGTAATTCGCCTCGCAGATTAATCCGTATTGCGTAGAGCGTAGTTGTTTTATCGTAAAAGTATAAATTTAAAAATTAAACCTTCGCCTAAATTTAAATATATGCGTTGAGCATTCTTTAATATAATGAGTTGGACGTTTCTGAACATTAGAGCTGTTATCGGCTTGGATGACTCGGCACCCGAAAGTCATACTTCAATCGTGGCGTGGCTTATATAGTCATTTAATGCATAAAATTACGTATCGTATTCATTCTCGATATAGATATTATCAGTTACGTGAGATTGAGTTGTGACACTATTGGTTCAGCTCTGTTGTGACTAGAGTTGGCTTCAAATAACAACTCTTATGAATTGAACATTTTGTACTGGAAAACATTCTTAAATTTTATGAATTGGAAATTTTGAATATTTCGGATTAGTGTGTTGCATTTCTTTTACGCTCGTTTACATTAAAGATCTTAATATATGTTTCATTTGGAGTAGCTACATACGTACTTACCTATCTGAAGTAGTCATTTTAGACATGTGAATTACTATAATACCTGACAGAAATTAGGCTTCTAAAATTAGCGTTAGTTTCATGTGTTAATTCTGGTCATGTGCTACTTTGCGTTTAGATATCTAAAATGGCTACATATAAAAAGCACATGATTTTATTTTCCATCTCATTTGTTTTCTCTTTGGTAAATTTAAAATGATCGATCAAAGGAAATGATAATAAAGAACTACAGTATTTAAATTCGATTTCATATTTTATCGTCGTTAATAGTTTTAATATTGGCGTTATTTTTAGGGAACTGTTATTGCCACCCCCATTTTTGTTAATGCCACCCCCTACATAACTCTAATTAACCTTTTTTAACCTTTCGGAAACTCTATAAACAATGCGTACCCGGACGGCCAGCTACGTAATTAGATGAAG